AAAGGGCGGCATATAAATAAAGTTAAATCCTAAATCCTACCCTACAATCTCTGGGGCAGGGATCCTGCGAGGAACTAACGGCATTCGGACGATAACTACTACTCCCCCACCCCTTCTCTGGTGTCGTGGTTGGTGGAGCACCTGAAACCCATCTGGGCACATTTCTGAGAGGGCGACACTCACCAACCTTGGCCCAGTCAGGTTTCGGTGATATATGCCAGGTCTGCCTCCTCGTCCAATATTAAATCTCGGACAAGGGGAGCTTTGTTCACAACCAACCTAGCATTTAGCAACAACAACCTGAGACCGGGGCCCTGTACTCCTCTGACACCAGATCCTTGAATTGAGCCTGAGGGGCCGGAACAAGCAATCGCTGTAATGTAGCGAGTCCTTGTTCCCCGATAATGGCTAGCCCTACAGCTCCCGCCATATCTGCCCCTCCCAGTCTTGACCGGGATGCTCCGACTTCCCCCTATCCCCGTAAAACCCCCCTCTCCCACAACCCCCCTTCTTCCTGGCAGGTCATATATTCCATTCACATCAGGCCGGGACTTGAGTCTGGGTCCCCCTCCACTCCTGCCTCTGCATTCAGTGGAGGGGACTCCAGGCCGCATCCCTGGTCCTACCATACTTACCGATCAAACACTCTCTTCAAACACACCCCACACTAATTACTCAAATACAATGCAATAAATTAAAAGTGGGACATTTTCTCTCAACATTCACACTATTTTGTTATAGCAGATTTGGTACTCTTAAAAAAGCAACCGAAGCTACAGAGGCTATGATTGCAATCCAATACATATATACATATACATATACAAGGGCAGAGGCTAGAAGGGCCCAGAAGAAGAAAAGTTAATGTGAAGAAGTCCCCCCGATCCAGCCTATGCATAGAAATCTCAGTCCAGGTGAAAGCAAGAAAAGAGTTCATCTCTGCACATGGTCCTGAGGATGCCGGCATTGCAGACTCTCTGGGCTGCGATAACCACTGTGGCTGCCATGTTTCCAAAGGTCCCGGGCAGCTCCCATAGTTCTTACGAAGAGAGACCTTCTTCCAGATCTCACATTTGAGCACGTAAAAATATGACTTCGGTTTTTCCGTAAATCCGGTGCAATTAATCAAAATGGCAAGTCCTGTTGATGGCAGCAGCTTCTCTCGGAGGAGCTATCATTGAGACGTGGTCTCCAAGTCCTGGTCCAGAGAGTAGTTGACGTATGAGATGGTAAGGTGAGGATCAGCCAGAAACTCCTGCCCCAGGCCCAATAGTGCCTGCCGGTAGGGCTGCAGTTCTATGGGTGATGCTGCTGCTTCTGAACATCAGCATCACTCAGCGCCATGTTGAACGCGGGCTAGAAAAGCAAAGGCTCGGGGAAAAGAGAAGGAGAAGCGTCCGCTTGAACCAGGGCTCCTGCAGGCACTTTTTCGGCCAGGCACGCCGTGATATCAATCCACTTGAGAATCTGGCCGGGGCTGAGGTCGCCGAGGTGGTTGGTGTGAGCGGGAAGGAGGGAGGCATTTAGATGAGCTCTGCTGTTATGTTTTTTTTCTCTCTTTTTAATGAAAGAGTTTTAATTGTTTTGTATTGTTTATTCTTGTGTGCCTGGATTAGATGTGATGGGTTTTTGTATGTATGGTTTTAATCCAGAGTCATTTGTGTGAAATCAGCAGCTAAATCCATCTTATTAAATAATATTTTTAAAGCACTTCCCACTTGGTCTATGCAAACCTGGTTACTTTTTTTTTAAAGGTGTGGTCTCAGTTGTTTGAGATCCCCTTGAAATTACAACCTAAATTTTGAGAATCTTCTTTGCCACCATCTAGTGGTTGTTTGGACCTTTACAAATCAGATATGTAGTTGGCTTATAGACTTATTTTTCCATTCACATCATTTTCCATTATTTTTTATCTAATAAGCTTTTAGCATCCTAGGATTGCTGAGCCTCTTTAGTCCCCATTGGTCTCTTGGAATTTTTCTCTTAAACTTAAAAATCTGAGGTTACCTCATGCTTGCAAGTATATATGATATATGATGATTGTATTTTATGATTATGATCATGATTTATCTGTCAAGCCTGCAATTATATTCCTTTTAGAATTTTGGCCTGCCACACTTTCTCTTATTTCATT